CAACAGATAGAAAGTGTTGTGTGTTACTATGAATACACTGTCGGGTGGGACGGATGTAGAGAACGGAGGGACAAAATGCCAAAAGTTGCCATTATATTCTTTAGTATTTTCTTAGAAGGGAACATTGATTGTAAGAAAGGTCTTTTTTCTGCCTTCCGGTTTTCTGCTATCTTTTCTAGTTCATAGTTTTAAATGGCAATGACTTATTCAGTGCATTTCTCTTTATCTATACAACAAAAAGAAAGTGATGGAGAAAACAAAGTATGTCTGTCGTTTCATCGAGTACATGTATATCTGTCTTTCAGCAAGAATAACCGGCAGCCTGCCTCCTAAAACGATCTAAATAGACTCAATGAGAGCGTAAATGAAAAGACAGATTATAGCTTAAACTGATTTGAACATTTCTTAGCTATTTCAACGTGTGTCTTCTCCTCATTCTGCTGCCTTTTTTTTTAATGTAGGCTTAGGTGATTTTGCCCACATAGACACAATTTAGATCATTTAGAAGCCAGGCTTTCAACCCTACCTGTCAGGACCAGCACGGGTTAAGAGGGAAACAACATCCTCATGTAAAGACCGAGATACTCGATGAAAAATTTCCCCCTCTCGGGAGTTGAAGCTGGGTCTCATGCGTGCAACAGCGAAGTACCTAACCGCTTCTCCATAGACGCCGGTATTCTGCTGCCGGAATGCAATGGAGACCACAAACACTGAAATAATATCTTCTCCTCTTTTGCACAATAGTATGAGTGCTTACAACCAGATTCAACACCGTATTCAGTTGAATTTAATTTCTGGTCTATATGTTTTATTCTACGGTGTGAAGTTCTCTTCTTTTGTTACTGCGTGGATGTTGTTTGGAATGCTATTATGGCAAATTGATCTGCCCGAGCCGATAATTGTTGTTTTTTTAATCTGACGTAGCTGTAGCGACTGAAATATTATGTACCGGCGTCTGTGACACAAAAGAATGAAATCCCATAATTTGGGATAAAGGTTAATGCTACCGAGTGTCTCTGTCTTTTTACTATGGGATTTTTGTCCCCCTCAATACAAGTTGGCTCTGACAGGAAGCGGCGAAGCAATTCACCTCGTTTAATTATCTTCACTGTTTCGCTACGAGCATTGAACAAATACAAATGTGAGGTAGCGTGGTGGTATCAGGCTCTCGTCAATTTTTGGGCATGTAGAGTTATTGGTATTATCTTAAAGCTTGTTCACTTGTCTTTATTTGGTTGAAAAAAAGATCCATTTATCTTGAATACAAGTCGAAATATTTGTGAATGAAAAAGGTGGGGGTCACCTGTTTTCAGAGGTAAAATTAGTGAGAAAATGGCCGCCAAAGATTTGTTATTTCCTTAGCTTAAGACTCCGTGATAACTGAAAATTTACATTTTTTGTGCCTTTAATCAACGTTTTTCAGAAAAATCCACACCTAAAAGAGTTCTTTAATGGGCATGAAAGGTATTGAGCTAAAAAACAAAAATTTGATAAAAATTCAGAAACCTGCGGAAAAATGCAACTTTCTTCACTTTGATTATTTTGACGAGAGCTTGATTCCACCGTGCTGCCTCACAAATAATTTAATCAATAATGTGTAGCTAATGAGGTGTCATCGACACCTCAACGGTTTCATATGTTAATAAACTTAACCTAGTGCCCAAGGATGTTACGGACCGTACAATGAACTTCATAAACCTCAGTATCAAGCAACTTGCGACCGTCACGAAAAAAGAGCTGGGAGAAGAATCGATTCCGGAACCAATTCTCGCGATGAGTGGTACCGAAGAAACGTTCCGATTTCTTTTTACCTATGCCAACGGTTATCACTTACTTAATTTATTAAAATCTTTTATTTCATCGAATTCATTTTTTTTTATGTTAGTGCCTCGCCGAGCTCTGTCGTCGACGGAATCCTGAATCACGAAGCTGTTCAGAGCCGACCAGGGAACTGGTAACTGACTAGATATTGGACTCGTCGGACGTAACCATGGACTCCCCGGTATTAATCACTACTCGCAAAAAGTGCTCATGTAGTTGTCTAGGAGTCGGACTCAACGGAAGTAATCATTACTCGTCGGAAGTAATCATGTAATTGTCAAGGGGTCGGACTCAATGGAACCAATCAGTCCTTGCTCAAGTAAATCATGTACATGTAATAGCCTTGGAATGGGAACCACCGGAAGAAATCACTGTAGTAGAAAGTAATTGGGCTCGGAATCTGCGTTTACCTTTTAAAAAACCTGAACCGCCCACAACTACACGAAACACCATTCCTGGTACAATTTGGTGAGTACCTCCTAATCAAGTAAGCTAGTTGTATTAACAAACACTACAGGCACTAACGCGAGGGGAAGAGAGGGGTTTTGACCGAAGGCGTGTCTGGCTTTTACCTCAGTCCTTGTAATTTTCTCCTATTGTCCTTCCTCCGCGTTAGAAAATTTAATGAACAAAAGAGTATTGATTTTACGCCCCCTGAAACACTGTAAGGTTATCTAAAAGGGAAGTGTTCTGTATTTAAGATTCATTTCCGATAAGACCGAATCAAGTGAGAAAACCAGTAAATTTAAGAGTTGGGACACAACGTCGCACCGAGATGACCCACGAGTCCGTGGGCTGCCCAGTTTGTCATAATTACATTTGAGTATTTGAATATTGATGGCAGTCATAATTACAGCACTTTAACACTATAGTTCTAACTTAAGTTTGTTATTCTTCACCTTCAAATTGGCGGTGTAGAGATAGTTTTAAAGTGTGGTTTGCTTCTTCTTTCCTATCAAACGTCTATCGTCCTGATCTCTCCTCCTTCTATTTTGTGTTTGTTCCTCTCTTGTAACACCTCTAATCTTCGGCACTTATATGACCTTACTGTGTTGCAAGTGCCGTAAAACTCTTTACTAAAACTAAAAGAGATAGTCCCTCTAAAATGTGTTCATTCAGCTTGTGTTGTTCAATATTTCTTCCTTGTTTGTATGCAAATCAATGCAAATTTAAATTACTCTGTAAAATTTCAACAATGAATGTCCTTTCGTTTTAAAAAAATTGAAAAATAACATTCAATTCTTATTTGAGAGTGTAAGTGATAACCTCCATCATTCAGGGCACAGTCAAGGCCTGTGACAAACTGGCATGCTTCCTTTGATGAATCCCCCGACCAGAAACCTCACGATTACAAGTCAGGTAGCCCAATCACTTGACTACCGACACAATTCCTCAGTTTTAGCCACTTTGTGTCTTTAAAAAAAACCTTAACCTCGCCTTTTCTTTAGTAGTCGACAGTGGCAATTTTCTTATTGGCCTTCAAGATATTTTGCTTAAAACATGATTAGCTCATGGCAGTTGAGTTTTATAGTAGGGGTTGAGCAGTTGAGTTTTATAGTAGGGGTTGAGCAGTTGAATTTTATAGTAGGTGTTGAGCAGTTGAGTTTTATAGTAGGGGTTGAGCAGTTGATTTTTTTTTTACTGCGGCATAGTTGACGTTCCTCCCTCTCAATCCTATATTTTTCTGTTTTCTGTTCATGACAACAAAACATATTTTTCTGTTTTTCAACTGCCATGCTGGATGGTGTTTCCTTAATCCGAGTAAACTTCACAACTTCCTTCTTGTAGTTGCTCCAGCTGCTTATCCATCTGTTTTATTTACCTTCGTTAAGCTACTACTACCTACCCCCCCCCCCCCCCCCCGGACGCCCACACACCTCTCTCTTTTAACCCCCCCCCCCCTATCGCAACCCATACTCCAAGCCAAAATAAAAGTGATTATAATTGTTTCAACTCAAGGAACAAAAGTTCTACAACATCACATTTGGGATTCGAGACAAGGTCATCCGTGCCAAAGCATAGCAAGGTATCAACAAAGCTGGCGGTGTTCCCCGGGGCCCAGGAGTTTCCATGTATAAGAGCAAATTGGAAGCAACATAAAATAGCGGGGGGGGGATTGTCTGAACCCTGGGCTGAACTAGGTGAAATGAAAGCAATAACTGAGATGTAAATGTACCGGGCTGTGGTTGTCCCTTTAAAAGTTTAATACATAAGAACGAATAAGCGTACAGGATAGATTCAATTTTCTAATGGAGATGCTAATATTCCTGCATGGGGTGGCTGTTTTCAGGAGATAAAGAAAAGAGAGATCCAGGAAGGGACTGATGGTTAACATTTAATGTTACACCCTATTAAACACTTTTTTTAAAGTTTCCAATCAGGATCGCATGATTCTGCTGCCAGTAGACTGGACTGAGAAAAAGTCAAACGCAATGGCAGCAAGAGCAAGAAAAAAGTAACAAAGAGGGTAATATTTTATATTTAGAACCCCTTCACGTATCCGGACCAGCAACCATTTCGTTTCGGCCAAGGTTGGGGACCGACTGGTCCACGGTAGTCAGAAGAAAAAGAAGGAAAAATAGGAGTAGGAGGTTTAGCCAGTTGTTAAGACTTTGCTGTGGTACGGTATGGCTAGGTATACTATGGGAAGAGGTTGGACCACCTAAGTCAACGTCTGTCTCTAATAGCAACTAAATGGGTAAACAGCTTTGAAAACTCAAAATAAAAATCAGATTTCAAGAACATCTCCTTTGAAATTGAAACCAATGCCATTCGTACAATAGTCCAGCACGATATCAACAGTTATCGGTGCTCCAGCTACAAAGAAAACTCAAAAATGCTTCATGCGAGACAGCAAATCGTCACAACGTAATCCATTTCGTTCTCAACATGGACAATCCAAACAAATGTTTTGGTACATCGTTTATTGACTGCAAGACCTCTAAAAGAAAAACATGTGGGCCAAACTAAGTTATAGAACTCAACCCATTCTTTTCAATTCAATACGTTGCTTGTCCATGCCCCAAGGTTGAGAGGAGCAAATTGACATAAAAGTGCAAAGAATAAAAAATGCAACAGACAGACAGAAACAACAAATGGAATGAAAAGAAGAAGGGCATACGTGTGGCACCCTTCAACCTCCCGCAATCGATACAAGAATACACCATCAAGGACACTTCGGGTATTCAACTTTGCTTTTTATTCCAGATCCCACTGAGTCAATACATGGTAGCAATTTCTCTAAACGCAGTAGAGCAAAGCAGACGACAACATTTACATGTCACAGCTCTCACGACCCCTTCTGTTTCTTTGTCCTTGGATCTTTTGAACGTTTACCTTGGCTTATTTATTTGGCATTGCCTTTCGCTTCAAGGCGGGTGGTGACTGTGGACAAATAAAAAGTGAGTATGGGTTGGTTTTCTTTTATGAATGGGTTTGACGACTTACCAAACACAAAAAGGTCCATTTGAAGGTGGAGAGCGTTAGCTTAAGTGGTCAGAGAAAAGAAGTGGGAAGACAGACGGGAAGAAGGAGAGACGACAGAGGCGTTACGCAAAGGTAAATGGCATGGCCGTCGTAGTGTTGAAGCTCATATTATGTGCAATTCCGAATTTACTTACTAGGCTGCGGGGTGGTACCTCCTGTTGTTGCAAGTGGGAATTATATTTCTTGTTGTGACCTTTTAATTCGCAGGAAAACGTACAGTTTTTTGTCCAATGCAATATCGGAAGGAGCGCGCAGCGAGAAACATAGAAGTCAACTCCAGTTTGTATGAGGGTGCACAATTAATTCTTAACTGTAGGAAACTCTTTACGGCTGTCCTTGATACCAAGACAGAACTTCCAATATATTGAAAGAACTGTAAAAGTACTGTAAATACTTTTAATTCACGTCTTCCTCACGCTAAATGTATCGAAAGGGGCATTAAAACTAGTACAAAAATAAATCACTTCATCTGCGTGTGTTGGACAGAAGTAACTCCCTAAGTGAGCCTTGTTTGGAGTAGACCTCAACTAGTTAAGAGGGGTTCAAATCGAAATTTAAGTTTACTGTTTCTTGATTTTAGCTGCCACGAAATGATCTTAGAATCAACAGATCATCATCATCATCATCTGAGCATGCCACATGCAGAATCTCTTCCATATTTTAGCCAAGCCTGAGGCAGCCTTTCACTTGCAATAAAGTTTCACTATTTCCGCCTCTACTATGTTAAGAGGGGTTCATAAACAAAAGGCAAAGGCACTGCTTCTCAAACTAGACTATAATTGAAGGGGCTTTTAAACAAACGTACTGCTTCTCTACTTTAAAAAGAGCTTCTAAATAAATTCAATCTCACTGCTCCATAATATAAATCATTTTGGTTTGGTCAGAGTTTTTCGGCGCTTGCTATTACATAATAAGGTCTATGGGCGCGCAAAACCCAAGTGGTTTATTTTCATGTTAGTTCATAGCTTAAATTGTTTACCGAGGAGCTTACAGACAAAGAACGGTAAATAAACAAAAAACTCAAATTCACATTTTCCTTCCCTAAACGTCGTCGAAAGTGGATTAAAAACAATTACAAACTTACTGCCCGAACATGTGATGTGCAGAAGTTCTTCCCTGATGGAGTCCAGTTTGGAGTAGTCCTCTGCCAGCAGTACATGGCTGGGGTCTCCGGCGATAGAGTTGAGCTCTGCCTCATCCAGAGTGCCGTGGGCGTGGCTGTTCAGTTTGCCTGTGGGAATGGTTGGAAATGTTTTAAGCCAATTTCCACACAATGTAGATCATTTACGAGTGCATGCAGAGAATAAGGACAGTGGATTTGGCTGTTTGAACTTGTATTTGTGCAGCCGTGGGGGTATAATACTGTGATGTGCTGTGCGGAGGTATTTTTGAAGTATTGTATCCTGTGAAAAGATATAACATGGCGTGGCATGGCGTGGTGTGGTGTTGAACTAAAAAGGCGACAAAAGTACCGTGCGGTTTCTGGAAGCAACGACAGCATTGATCAGACTCATTAAAAATATTTCGACGGCGAGAACCTACTCACCTACACCAACTGCAAACATGATGGCTCCAGCATCACGTGCTCTCTGGGCAGCCGTGGCAGTTTTCTGGGGAGTGAGTGAAAGCAACTGTTAAATAGTAGTTCCATAGTGAATTTTTTACTGCAGAGGGAAAAAGCCAACATTGTAGGTATGTGTGTAGATAATACATGTAATAATGTTATATGTATTTATGTGTACGTGTGCATGTGACTGAACATGTGTACGTATGACCATTATGTTTCATTGTGGTGTGGTGTGGCGTGGCGTGGTGTGGCGTGGTGTGGCGTGGTGTGGCGTGGCATGGCGTGGTGTCGTGTGGTGTCGTGTTGTGTAGATAATATGGTGTGGTGTGGTGTAGTTTTGAGGGGTGTGCTGTGCTGTGCTTGCTGTGCTGTGCTGTGCTGTGCTGTAATTTCGTTTGAGAGAGTACGATAGTATGGTGCTGTATGGTGTTGTGTGCTATGGTTGAGTGTAGTATGATGTGTCGAGTACATAAAATATAATATTTCTACTTCAGACTCACGTCAGGTTCTTGTGACTCCCCGTCGGTGATGACGATACCAATGTGAGCGGCGTGCTCCCGGGTATGGGGCAGGAAATGGTCAACCATGTAGTCAATGCCTGAAAAAAAATTACCAATCGCGCATAGAAATCGTGTGTTTGTTATATAGCCAAGAAAGTTACAGTTCATTTCAAACGCCCGGACGAACGTGTGTTCAAGCTCACAGTTTGTATTTGAGCCGTGTATGTTAAAGAGAATACTACACACCAAACTTAGAATCTGTATTTATCCCAAAAAGTGTAAAGCTCACGTATTCCTTCAAAAATTTATTACAGACTTATCATTTCTGAATTTCGGACCATGGTTTAGTCTGCCGTGCTCCTTTTTTTTATACAGTTTCCAAATTGTTGTCCAATTATTATTCACACAGCTTGTTTCCTTGTAACTGATGTATAATGTGTAAAAGTTTATGAGCGTGATAGCCGCAAATAACGTTTTTGCCAATTTTTGAAGAAGTGGTGTGTGTGATGAGGAGGATGGGTGCACTTTGAATTTCTCAGGAAAGCAACCGTTGAATCATGAGCTCCTCATTGTGTAACCTTAAGAATTCTGTTAGGTTGTCATCCGCAGGTACAAGAAAGAGAAACATTTCTTGAGGTCTTCTTACACAAGACAATGAAGCTTATTCTAATGACTTTGATCACTCCCCATGATTCCATCCACCCGGGTGCATCCTGCTATCATTTCCAAAAACAACAGGCGCTGCCTTCTTGGGTTGTTTAAGAATAATGTGGATTTGTTCGAGAATTATTTTTTTCAATGACATACCCAGCCCAGTCTCGGTACGTGTGCCGTGTTCCCACTTGAGGTTGAGAATGGCGTCTAGGGTGTCCTTCTCGTCGTCGTAAGCGCTGGAAAAAAAAGATAAATGGCAAACTGATGGGGCAAGAAAAGGGTGGAAGGTATGAATACAGAAAAAGATACGGACGAACTAAAACGTCGTTGATCCCAACAGAATCCTTGATTTCATAAAGGCCTTTATGGAAAATTGTAAATTCAGTTATTTTGATTTTAAGCAGGTTATCATTTTTAGATTGCTATTTGACCTCAAGTTTTTAACATTTTAAAATCTGATCGTTGGCTCGAGCCAAGCCATGCAGTTAACTGTTGTGAATGTAAACAACTAGTGTTTCGCGTGCTCCTATGGCCTTATGCAGTTGCGAGCGCCGTAAAACTCTTACTAAAACTAAAAGATCACTTCTTGCCTTTTGCTCAACCAAAGGCAGAGAGCCACATTCCAACCTGTATGAGAATATGTATTTGGTTTATCATCCCATTCACGGTAGCTCATAGAAATGACTTGTGTCCTGTCGTTTCCAATGAGAGTTTTGTTGGGGATTTTTTGTTGTTGAGGGGGGGGGGGGTCTTTTTATGGTGGGTTTGTTTTGTTTTTTTTTTGGGGGGGGGTAATTATTATTTTTTAAGAATAACCTTACCGGCGTCTGTGGTGTGATGGGTAGGCACTTTATCGTCGAACACAGAAGACCCGAGTTGGAGAATTTTTATCAAGTACCTCAGCCTTTCGTCTGGGACATTGTATTCCTCCCAACACGGGTTGGACCTTATAAGCAGGGTCGACGCCCGCTTCCCAAATGATCTAAATTGTGTCGATGGGGACGTAAATACACGTTCATTTTAAAAATAAAAAACGATCTTTACCCGTACTATTTCTTGTCGAGCGTCACTCTGTAAAAAAACAACACCCCACAAGCACAATAGTTTTATAGACGTTGCCATTAGCACTCTAGAACCTTTTAATGATTCCTTTAATTAAAATGTACTTTTTATATCTCAAAAAGAGCGTAGGCGGTTAACGGATTCTGTAGAGTGGCTTGCTTCTTCTGTTGTTTTTTTTAATCAAACATCGATCGTCCTTATCTCTCCTCCTTCTTGTCTCAATTGACTACTTTCTAGTAACACCTCTAATCTTCGGCATTTATATGACCTAATTTGTTTTGCGAGTACCATTAAAAGCACATAGAGCAGTACATCCTTTTGCAGTACATAATACAGTCAAACCAGCTCTTACCATCACCTATCCAAGACAATCAGTATTGTGTAAGCGACCACTCGTCAATTTTCTCCTTGCATTAAAAAAAAATTATATAGGCACTTTCATAACAAAACGTCTGCTTAAGATGGCCACTTTTCTCTTCGACGTTGGACGGACGTCTTGGACAGATACGGCTGTATAATTGGACTCTTTATGACCCTGGGCTTGGAATTTGATTTTTTTTTAAATTTTGACAATGACAATGACAATCTTTATTCATCTCGTAGGGAGAAATTTGTCTTGGTCGTTAACAATGGCAGTAGACGTTACAAAAGTTAGACTTAAAGGTGCACTCACGCAAACGCACAAGACAGGACATTAGGCCAAGTAAAAACAATATGTCTCACGTGCTGGGAC